ATGCACTGCTGGTGGAGTTGTGAAATAATCCAACCATTTTGGAGAGCAATTTGGAACTAAGCCCAAAGGGCTATAAAAATGTGCATAACCTTTGACCCAGCAATAGCACTTCTAGTGCTGTATCCCAAAGAGATGATAAAAATGGGAAAAGGACCCACAAAAATATTTATAGCAGCTCTTTTTGTGGTGGCAAAGAATTGGAAATTGAGGGGATGCCCATCAATTGGGGAATGGCTGAACGAGCTATGGTTTATGAATGTAATGGAATACTATTGTGCTATAAGAAATGATGAGAAAAAAAATGATAGGTAGACTTCAAAAAAAAACCTGCAAAGACTTGTATGGACTGATGCTGAGTGAAGTGAACAGAACCAGGAGAACGCTATACACAGTAACAGCCACGTTATATGATGACTAATGTTGAAAGACTTAGCCCTTCTCAGGAATTCAAGGATCTAAGATATCTCCAAAGGTCTCATGATGGAAAATGCTATCCACATCCAAAGAAATAACTATGGAGTTTGAATGCAGATTGAGGCATATTACTTGCTCTTTTTTTTCTTCTGTTTTGTTTTGTTTCCTCTTTCTGGTGATTCCTCCTATTGGTTCTAATTCTTCCAACATGACTAATGTGAAAATATGTTTAACAGGAATGTATATGTATAGCCTATATCAGATTGCACGCCATCTTGGGGAAGGAGGGGGAGAAAAATTTAAAATTCAAAAGCTTATAGAAGTGATTGCTGATAATCAAAATAAATAAATTAAAAAAAAAAAGAATCTACATTTAATCTGCTCCCTCCATTTTGGGCTATGGTCTTTATTTGACCGATTCTCAAATCTGCATTTTTACTCAAAAGGCCTGACTCTATTTATCAAGGTAATGGGGGCCTAACATCTGCACAGAATATCTTTGATGGAATTCTCCATATGGAAGAAAGTAGGGGAGGCCTGCTCCTAGGCAAGTCATGACACATAGTGGAAGTACCTTGGAGAGACTCTGGAGCACATCTGGATATTCTGTAACTGGTTCCAGACGGTTGACCATGTGGTTAAACAGTAGCCTCTTAACTAGGCTGCAGGTACAAAACCAAAACTAGGGACATCCTTTAAAAGGCCTCAGTCTCAGCCTTTTCCTTTGGTGGTTGAACTCTTTCTCTTGGTTTGACTTGACTTCTTTACTTTCAAATGTCCAGAGAAAGATAATGTTCTAAGGGGAAAGGTCTTGGCCTTCTCTCACCAGAGGCTGAAATGTGGCCCCACTGATAATGCCTGCCTCAGAGTTTATTCTTTTGTGCTAGGTGAAGGGACAGAGGGCTATAACTCTAATTTTGGTAACTTAAAAGATCTTTTCTAAGCTTTTTTTTGGGGGGGGAGGACATAAAGTAGGGAAAAATTACATAGATTAATAAGCAGCTTAATAAGTAATGAGGATGGAAATTACAAGCAGACTAATACCTTGCATGGTATTTACAAGCCCCTAAGCATAAACCAGGCTACCTCGGTGAAGGGATAGTGTAGGAGGTGGAAGGAGGAAAAGAACACATTTCCCATGTTGTAACCATTTGGTGGATGACTAATCATGTCAAAGAAATTTAGTCTGGCATTTCCAAGGAGGAAGTTAGGTAAAGGAGAATAAGAAGGGAACTTAAATCCTTAATTGCAATCCTGTTATATTTAAGCAGCAGGGTGGTGAAGTAGATAGAGAGCTGGCTTTAGATCCATACGACTAAGGTTCAATTTCTGCCTGACCAATCTTGCAGTGCAAGGCTGGACAAGCCACTGAATCTCTAGGTCCTATAGCTGCTACGTCCATGCAGCTGCAGTCACACACAGCCCACAACACTTCCAAGAGCGGCCCAAACCAGATTAAAATATAACTGAGAAATGTTTAACAAAATATTTAAAAAGATAATGAAATATAGATAATATTAATATGTGGTTTTCTAAGTCAATATATAGCCAGCAGTATACATTTCTATAAATCTGACACCACCCTTGCTCTAGGCAAAAATGCAGAGGTTTCCACTTATTAAAAGAGGAAGTTTCCTATATAAATGAAACCTCAAGTCCAATTTTTTCCCTAGTATTTATAGCTACAAAAGCTCAGGGAAAAAAAGATAAGGAAAAGAACAATGACAAGTAATAAGGGAAAAAAAAAGCCAATGACTCATCAGCATGGAAGAGATTAGAAATCAAGAGAACAAAGACACATGGCTAAGTCCCTTAATATCTCTGGGCCTTAATTTGCCCAGCCATAAAATGAAGGGATAATATGATTCAGTAATCATCACTCCTGTAAATTTTAAAATATATTCTTCTTTCCAAACTCCATGTTAAAAGACTGTATTTATTCTGCTAAGGTGATTTTATAGCTTAAAAGAATTTAGAACTCTGAAGAAAATAAATGCTTGTTAAATTTGTTGCTACTCTAACTTTTTTATTTCTTGAGTCATGACCATTAGCTCATTTCAATTATGATTTAGGATTATATTAGAAGGAAAATTCAAATGTCTTTACAAAAAATGCTTTAAAATTTTAAATCACAAATACAGAGCTTGAAGGGACCTTGGAGGTCTCCTTGAGGGTACAACTCCCTCATTTTACAAAGGAGAAAACCAAGGCCCAGGGAGATTAAATGTCTTGCTCAAAGTCACACAGGAAATAAACAGCAGAGCTGAGATTCAATCCCTCTTCCTGACTCCACATGCCATGTACTTTCAAGAGGAACATAGGAAAAATGACAATGGGTATGCAAATACCTTTCAACTATAGCTACTTCTCTTTGCGATCTCCAGTTTCTAGCAATTTTTCCTTGAAGTCATCCCCCCACCTATGTCTAGAATGACTATTACTATAGTCTAACACACTATCAATTGATGCCATCACTGGTTTTCCTATCTTCAGCTTCACCTTGCTTAAATCCATTCTATACATCTTACTTACACAGATAAAACTTCCAAAACATTCATTATCATGTCATTTATTCCCCTACTCAAAAACCTGCCAATGGAGCCCAAATGTCAAGATAAAATTTAAACATTCCTTAGTTTGGCATTCAGAGCTCTTTAATTTGACATCAATTCATCTATCCAATTTTTATCTCCCCCTATGCTCCAAATGCAAATGCTGCAACACCAATCAGATTGGTTTTATTACTGTTATCCGAACACCCAAATCCTCATTCCTTAATATAAGCCTCTGCTCAGATTCTTTGGATTCTTTCTTTCTTTCTTTCCTTTTTTTAAGTGTATAGTTGAAATCCCCATCACTTGACTTCCAGGAGGCAATGCCTGACAGCATAAGCTCATTCTGGTATCCTCCACCTGAATCCCAACAGTCATGGTTGTGCACTCATATTTTATTTTTTTGCTAGGCAATGGGGTTAAGTGACTTGCCCAGGGTCACACAACTAGTAAGTATCTAGTATCAGAGGCCACATTTGAACTCAGGTCTTAATGACTCCAGGGCCGGTGCCACCTAGCTGCCCCCACAATCTAGTTTTGTAGTTATCAGGTGAAGGTAAGAAAGACACCTCACCCACAGTGGCGAATTTACAGGAAAACGTAGACCAAAGTTACCCAGGATGAGCAGGTACAGATGAGTTTTCATCTGCATCAATGGAGGGTACTTCAAAAATCGATGAAATCATAGATCTGAAAAAAGTTATCTACCAGGTATTCTTAAACTTTTTCCACTCTAGACCCCTTCAGAACTTCTAAAACTTCGGGTCGAAACCCCATGCAGTCTATACCACTCACGTGTGGCACCTTATGATGTACATTGCATGGTTATTTAACATCTGTATGTTTCTATTAAAGTAAAAGTTCTGTGAATGCAAAGATTTTTCTTATTTTCTATTTCCAGAAAGCAGAATTCTACAGATTGCAGAATACCCTCCACAAAGGTGTTTAATAAATGTTTGCTAAATGAAAGCATATAGATTTTACTGTTCCAATTACATTATAAGATACTTGAGAACAAGACTTACTTCCTTTGTATTCCCCAAGAAATTCCCACCATGTTTGTCCATCTTAAGTATTCCATTAATATTCAATGAATGAAAAATGAGATTAGTGCTAATGTCATGTTTGAAATAAAATCCTTTTTTATTTCAATTCCAAAAACATTTAAGTTTTCATCTTATTTAAGAGCAAAAGCCTTTCCTCTTTAGACAAATTAGTCAAAAGAAAACAAACACATCTTCCTCTGCTTATATCTTAAGAATTCAATTGTACAGGTAGATGTCTATCTAAGAATTACTGACCAGTAGGCAAACAGTCAAAAATGCAGATTTCATTACTACTACTTGTGGTTTTTCCTGGAGAAAATAGGATGGGAAACTGTCTTAATTATAAGACTAGAATACCTTGTGATGTCTTCTTTTCAACTTGGTATCCAAACAGACTTTTCTATACTGTGATCTTCCAGAGAACAAGGGAAAACTGGTAGCAGGCATGTGAGGAAAGCTAAACTAGAAGTTACTTTAAATTTGAAGATCATAATCACACTGTTTATTACGTATAGGACTCACTTTTTTCTAATACAAATTAACCAATTAAGTAGTGACTTATTTGACAACTCACTAATAGAGTGATATGCAGTAGCCTCTTGAAGCCAGAAGAGAGCAGAATATAATGTCTTTAAAGGAAAATAACCACAGATGTTTGCCAACAACTCATTTTGTATTAAAGTTTCACATGGGACAGTGGGGAGAGAGGAAGAAAGAGGGGCAGAGAAAGGCAGAGAGAGAGAGAGAGAGAGAGAGACACACACACACACACACAAACAGAGACAAAGACATAGAGAGAGAGTCACAGAGACAGTGAGAGACACACAGAGACAGATGTGTTACGGGGAAAAAGAAGGATGGTCCAGAGGGCAAGAAATTATCTGTGGAGGTCAAAGAAAGGAAAACCTGTAATAGAAATAGCTAAGGAATATTACAATGATAAACAAAAATACTTTGCTTTAACAAAAGAGGGAAAGATGTTACTCACTCTGGTGAAAAAGTATAGGGATTTTGGATTTGGAGTACAGGCCTGCTACTGTACTGAGGATGTTTTGCAGTTCTCTCTCTATGTAGCTGTCCCCACTTCCCTATGTCAGGCTGTCTTTCCTTCTGCAGCTTGGGCTGAAAGACAAAAGATTTACATCTGGCTGACGTGGGTAGAAGACTCATGCATCAATTTTCCCCCCCTTACTCAGTGATAATCAACTCATTCCCCAAATCTTAGGCCACAATCATATAAAGTACATGAGAACATTAAAGCTCATTTTATGGGGCAGCTAGGTGCACAATGGATAGAGCACCAGCCCTGGAGTCAGAAGGATGCAGTCTCAGACACTTGACACATAACTAGCTGCGTGACCTTGGGCAAGTCACTTAACCCCATTACCTAGCCAAAACAAAAACAAAACAAAAATTTCATTTTATAATTACGAAAATAACTTCCTTTTCCCTTCCCCACCCTGCTATCAAGTTTGTAGTAAAGACCCCAAAGACCACAGCACCATACTTGATATCATATTCCACATATAAGGACACAGCAGCTACCTACTGCCGAATAAGGTACAAAGAAAAGACTGTACTGGAGAAGGGACACTCATGTTCCCAGTTAGTTCTGACACAGCCTAGTGCAATCTATCACGTAACATGGGAAAAACTCAAACATGTGACCTATTAGTTGTGGGATTTCTAAAACCCCAAACCGAATGCACCTGAAACTTAGGAATATTATTACTTACTTCATTCACTATTTAAGCAGGCCTACATAGGAATAGTACAGGTGGCTAAGATGGCGAAGTAGGAAAGTGCTGGTCCTGAAATCAGGAAGATTCATCCTCCTGGGGGAGCTAGGTGGTGCAATGGCCTTGGATTCAGGAGGACCCGAGTTCAAATCCAGCCTTAGACACATAACACTTACTAGCTGTGTGACCCTGGGTAAGTCACTTAACCCCATTGCCTAGCCCCCCCCCCCCCCCATTCATCCTCCTGGGTTCAAATCTAACCTCAGACACTTACTAGTTGGGTGACCCTGGGAAAGTCACTTCAACCTGTTTGCCTTAGTTCCCTCTCCTGTAAAATGAGCTGACAGAAGGAAATGGCAACCCACTCCAGTATCTTTACCAAGAAAATCCCAAATGGGGTCACAAAGAGACAGATATGATTGAAAAAACTCAACAACAACAACATAAGAAAATATTTACTATGCAAAAGAATAAGACCAGAAAAGATTCCATAGTTACTGTGTCATCCAAAAAAAGATAAATGGATTATTTGGTACCGCTTACACACAAGGTGCCAAATGGAAGTAATCAATTAACAAGCATTTACAAAGCTATTACTAAACACTTGTTGATTATTGATTATGACTAGCAATTTAACAATAAAGTCAATTTTTCTAATAGCAAAGCATATAGGCCAGCATCACTTCAATTTATAAAAATAATGGCAATAAGATGTGGTTTTCTCTACAAAGTTACCAATGATCTCTTAGCTGCCAAATCCAGTGACCTTTTCTTAATTTTCATTTTTTCTTTTTTGACCACTTTGTAGCATCTGACACTGTAAACTACATTCTCCACTTAGATACTGTTTCCTCTAGATTTTCAGGACTCTTATCTTCTGGTTTTCCTACCTATCTGCTTCTTCTCAGTCTCTTTGAGTAGACCTTCAACCAATAACTATGCATGTCTCAAGGCTCTGTACAGGGGCCCTCTCCTCCTTTTCTCTCACTGGCTCCCATGAATTCAAATACCATCTCTATGTAGATAATTCCCAGATCTATACATTCAGTCTCTCTCTTGAATTCTAATACTCTTATCACCAACTGCCTATCAGACATTTCCAACTGTAATGTCCAGTAAGCTTCTCAGATTCAGATTATTGTATTATATAGAAACTGTGAGTCTCCATTTTAAACTATGTGCTTTTCAAAAAGTACAAAATTATACATTACTTTCTAAACTATACTAGTTATGCTTCCTTCTGAATTCCTTCTATTTTCTTCTGTGCATTTCTGAAAATGTTTCAGTGGTCATTCTTTTTCTGGGCATCATGACAATTACCCTCCCCCTCCAATTAAAAATCTAAAGGAAAAGCAAAAGAAAACACACTGTAACAAACAGCCATAATGAAGCAAAAGAAGTCACACGTTAGCCATGTCCACACATGTATCTCTTTTTGCACCTGGAGTTCATAATTTTTCTGTCAGGAAATAGATAACAAAATTAATCCCAAGTCTTCTGGAGACAAGGTTGGTCACTGCCCCTAGTGACAAGCTTCCTAAGTCTTTAAAGTTGTTTTCCTTTACCACAGTTTGTTTTTATATAAACTGTTCTCATTCAGCTCACTTTGCTATGCATCAGTTAAATATTGCTCAAGGTTCTCTAAAGTCATACATGTCTTTCACTGTTTCTTAACAGCAAAGTAATATTCCATTACATTCATATAAATCGTTCAGCCATTCCCCAACTGATTTCCCCTTAGTTTGTGCTTTTTTCAGCCAGTGCTTTTCTTCCCCCCACCCCTCCCCACCCTGCCCATCTTCCTTAAAACTCCTTTTCCTATTACGGCTTGTTTTCCTGTAAGAAGTTCATATAGTGTCCCAAAAGTTTAGTGCAGTTTTAAGCTTAATTAACCCAATAGGTGTTCCCCAATACTATGGTTCAGGTCTTCTCTTCTCTTGTGGTGACCTCATCAGGTCCCCAAGGTGATAATGATGACTTATATAGCCAAAAGGCTGCTGGATCTATATATCCTGCTCTAGTCTCTCTCCTAAGATTCAGTCCCATAGTATAAATTGCCTATTAGACTTTTAAAACTGAATGGTCTGTCATCAACTCAAACTAAACATGGCCCAAATGAAACTTATTCTACCTGCTCAACTCCCCAAATCCACCCATCTTTTTAACTATTTCTGTCAAGGATACCAGCATCCTTTCAGTCACTCAGGTTTTAAACCTCACAACATTTTCCCTTACTCCTCATTCCTCCTTCTTTCCATATCCATTCAACTGCAGAATCTTATCGTTTCTACCTCCACAACTCTAGCAACACCTCTCCACTGGCCTATGGCAATAGCTTATTTCTTCATTCTCTGCCTCAGGTCTCTTTCTTCTCGAATTCATCTTTCAGAGCTACAAAAGTGATTTTTACGAAACAGAGGTCAGACTATGTCACTCCTCTCCTCCAATTCCAGCAGCTCCCTCTCGGACACAAACTCTTCTGTTTAACACTTAAAACCCTTCAAAACCAGACAGAACCCACCCTTTCAGCCTGATTATGTAGCACTTCCATTCCAGCACTCTATAGCACACCAAAATGGCCTTCATGTTCTCCACACAAGACATTCCATCAACCTCAATTTCTGTGCCTTTCCAGGTTGTCCCCTGGTCCTGGAATGCTGCTTTGAATCCCAGGTTTCAAGATTCAGCTCAAGGAATACCATCTCCTCAAATCATTCCTGACCTGCTAAGCTCCTGCCCATCCCAATTAAGAAGTTTCAATACCTTCTCTCCTTAACTATCTTTCATTGATGTTATCTGTCCCAATGGAATGTAAACTCTTCAAGTGTAGCTTACATTTTTTAATATCTGTATTTCCAGCACCCGGTATAGTGGCTAGCACGTTCAGAATTCATAAATGTTTGTCGATTGGGGAAATACAAAGACAAAAATGAAAAGTTTACTGCCTTCAAAGAGCTTAGAGTCTACTGGGGAATACAACACATACATGCAGTTTTTAATACAAGAATATGCAAAAAGTATACCAGGTAACTTTTTGAGGGGCATTAACACTTTCTCTCACAAATGCCTCTTTTATACACCCCCCCATGCTGGGTCCCTTCATCTAGACCTCTTATCACTACATGCTGACGACCCATGTACCCATGCAACATACGGTCTGTTTATCTACTAGCCTTTCCTCTTGCTACACTGACAGACCACTTTCTTTTCCTGCAATATTTCTCTTGCATGGTACTTTTAAAATTCTACCCCTCACATGAAAATTGACCTTTGGTAAAATTCTGTAGTCTACAGCCATTATGTGTATCTCTTCAAAGATTGCATTATTCTATTTTCAAGCCATGTAGCATTACGGGAAGAACAATGGTGTTAAGAAGATGGGTTTTTGTTTCATAAAGAAGTCTGAGGTCTTTGAAAGTATTACATCATTCTCCAATTTCAACCTAGCTTACTTTCTTCTTTCCTGGAACAAGCATATTATTCATTTGAGGTATGTATCCAAGATATATATATTAACCAACCAGTTGTATAAGATTTCCATCCAAATGCATATCATGCTCTACATTTTTAATCCATTTGTGTGTGAAATTTTTCCTATAGTCTATTCACTTCTTGGAGCCCCAGGATTTTCAGCTATAAAACAAGGATAAATATATGCTACCTAACTCACCAGAGTATTATGATTAAGGTGTTTTGTAGACTTTAAAATTATATCCAAATGTTGCTGTTAGGAAAAAAAGAAGCGTTTGTGTCCAACTTTTTATGCAAAGTCTTCAGCAAAGCCTGAAGCCTTGAGTCGTTTGTCATAAACAGGTCATGATGACTAAAAATAAAATTCTGGAAAGCAGCAGGTTTGACAGCACAATACAATGCAAAGAGCATTAGATTTGGAACTAGATTTGGAACCCCAGGCTTGTCACCAACTACTGCGACTTTGGGCAAATCATTTTACCTTTCTAATCGCAGTTTCTTCTACTTGTAAAATAGGGATAATACTTGCACTATCTACTTCATAAGATCATGTTCAGGATGAAATGAGAAAGTACAAAATTCTGTAAATGTAAGCCAGTACTACTACTACAAAAGATTCTTTAGACCGGAGGTGTTACAGAAGAACTAAAGCAGGACACGTCTCAAGTAGAACAGATGTTCTTTGGTGAGCTCAAGGCAGCCCATGAAAAGCAAGGGAGCCAGAGAAATATTTTAAAGAACTCACATTTGTGTCTCTGTGAAAACTTGTATCAATATTAGCCAATAGTTCAGTGATGGACAGGTCTGTTATATAACACGGCTGACAAAGGTAACAATCACAAGGTGCAGATTTACAGTAACAGTTGCTGTAAATATACAATGCAACCACAAATTGTAAAAAATTTGAACAAG